AATAATATTACCTATAGAAATATAAATTGTTGATATTAGAGCCACCAAAATATTTTTGTTACAATAGGATATCCCTTAAACATCTTCATTTAGAATGAGAAATATGTTGCTAATGCCCAAGTGATAGAGAATCTGTGCTCATACTGCCATCCCATGATTCAGGCCAAAAATGAAGGCAGGTCTTTGCTATTATGTAAATTGTTTATTCTAGGGCTTTCCACTGGAAAGAAGAGAAATGCTTAATTAGTATGCTCTAGACCAAACTGCATATTTTGTATTATGCATTTCATAATCACTTCACCTTTAACATTTTAATTAATTAAAACTATAAAGTTAATTATAGAAATAAAATTAAGTCATGGAGGTAACAATTTTCCCATATTTTTGTGACTATCTCTATTTGATACAGCTACAGAGTGAATTAGGGAGGGCTACAATATATATTTGCTCCCTACCTCTTGAGAGATAGGCTTAAACATTTACATTGGATAAAAGCCCTTTTAGGCTGCCTTCAGTGCATCATCAAGGATTCATTCTGGAGTTTTCATGTCAGTTAGGCAACATTACTCTTTGAAGGACTCAGATGTGGGGCACTGTTTTATGTTCTATAGAAAGATATGTCTGCCTTCAAAAATCTAATGATCATTTGAGGTAGAGAGCATACATAGTGAACAGGTATAATCCAAATGTATTAGCAAGTTTTGAGAACAAAACATAGAGAACTGATATTACTGATGATGTTATACATGGCCTTTGGACCATAATTCTAAAGTCAAGCAAACATTACACTTTTGATCTTTGTTTCTGGCTGCAGGTAGTGTATCATAACAATTATGCAAACCAAACAAAACATATAGTTAAAAAACCCCACCAGCTTTAAACAAACAAACTGAGATAAATCTTGGGCAGTAGGTCTACAAGTAGGATAATTTTTAAATCTCTCTGAGCCTTTTCTTCCTCTGAAAAATGTGAAAAGTTATCTGTCTCCTAAAATAGAATTATGCAAAGATCTGTGCCTGACATATTGTAGGCATTCTATAAATGTAGCTCTTATTACACTGCATATAGTAACATTTGCTGACAAATACATAACTGGGGGAAATGGTATACATGAAAGCACAAAGCAACTTTTTCTTGAAAAACAACTGAAGAGAATGAAAAGAAGCTAAAATAAGAGAGTATGTAATCAGCTCTAAAACTATGGAAGGAGTTTAAAACTTAGGTTCCAAGCTTAGAGAATGTAATTTAACAATTTGGTTTATATTGGCAATGAAATTCTAAAGCTCCACTTTTAGAAAGGAAGGCATAGAGGAGTAAGTAAATGAGTAAACAAAAAAGAAAAAAATTACTAATATATCCCAATATAAAAAGCATATTTTTGGCATGACAATGCCTCCTCATAGAACTTAGGCAGAAAGTCTTTCCACGGAACCTAGTGCAATGAGAAAGATAAAATGTGTGAAATGATTGAAGAGAAATTCTAAGCCTGCACTAGAAGTTTAACCAAGCCATAACATTTTTTTCTATCCATTTGTTTTCAGCTCCTCAGCTCATGGTCTAAGATGAAAATTCATCCAGTATCCATGTAGATAGTGAAGAAAGCCAAAGTGAAACCTATTACACCATTTTGGTGCCAGGAGTGGGCCCAGAGAGAATTCCCCAAACTAGCATTTAAAAATAACTGTAGGGCTTCCCTGGTGGTGCAGTGGTTGAGAGTCCGCCTGCCGATGCAGAGGACACGGGTTCATGCCCTGGTCCGGGAAGATCCCACATGCCGCGGAGCGGCTGGGTCCGTGAGCCATGGCCACTGAGCCTGCACGTCCAGAGCCTGTGCTCCGCAGTGGGAGAGGCCACAACAGTGAGAGGCCTGCGTACCGCAAAAATAAATAAATAAATAAATAAAAATAACTGTATACATGTATTCCTCAAAGAAATATCCATATGCTGATTCATGGATAAGTAGGGGAAATAAAATTGGGAACTATGTAAAATTATAAAAGGAGAAGAGAGGATGAAGAAGCAGCGGGAGGAGGAGGAAGAAGTAGAGGATTCTCCAGAGAGAGGATGAAGGGAGAAGGAAGGAAGGCAGGAAGGCAGAAGAAATTAGGAAAAAGAGAGACAGAGGAGTGGAGCTCACCCTAGAAGTATTCTTTTAAAAAAGAAAAAAAAAAAAACGAAAGGAAAAGAATATAAAAGGTAAAAGTTTAAACAACCCTTCATAGTTTCAAGGAAATTAAAAAGAAAACTACCACTATGAAAATGAGACTATGAGTTATAAGATAATGTAAAAACAGAATAAGATAAAAAGGGCACTTCCAAAATTAAGGAATTAAACAGAGAAGAAAAGATAGAAATTTAAAATGTATGTCAAAGCAGTGAAGAGCAAAAACAAAGCTGCCAAGAAGTGAATCAGTGACCAAAAAGTAAGAATTGGTAAAAGTCACAGAGAGAGTAAAGAGAGGGTAGCGGGTGGCCTGAAAAACAAAATGAATACATGGAATAGAAAATAAATATTTTAAGAATATGACGTAAGGGAATTTTTCTATAATAAAAAAGACGAGATACTCAGTCTGAGTGTTCACTGTGTACCAAGACAATTCATAAGAAATATTAGTGCTAATATATATCCTAGTGAAATGACTAAACAACAGAGAGTCCCATAAGCCTTTAGTCAGAGAAATAAGGCCATTAAGTTGGTGACAAATGTTAAGATGGACTACTAGTTCTATTCAAGAGCATTAGATTTAAGAAGTAAAAACAGCAATATCTACTGGATTTTTTAAAAAAGTAACATTGCCCCCCCAACTTTTAAAAGTTGATATGTGCATTATAGAACCCAACAAGCAAAGGACATAAAGAAACATCCATAATCACAAGGAGTTTACAGTTTGACTTGAACTTCTAGTCCTGTGTGTGTGTGTGTGTGTGTGTGTGTGTGTGTCTGTACATTTACACAGTGACACATGGTTTTGTGCTTGAGATCATATAGTATGCATCATTCTTTTTCACATATAAAGATATTTACCAGTTGAAAGCCCAAAGGCCATGACTATTTGGATAACCGAGAATATAATACACCAATTCAATCAGGATAGACATGCAAATATTGCTTAAATGACAAAAATGACAAGCCTCTGGATAAACAAATATTGGCAGAGATACAATTAAAATAGTGCATTCCCTTAATGTTCAATTTAAAATGAAACACAAAGCAAAGGAGTACAATAAGTTTAATGCTTATAAGAGAATTATCAGGTCTATACTATTAAAATAATATGTAGAAGGTGTTTCTATTGAGTTGTTTTACAATGTATTCATATAGTATGCACACATACATCAGTCTTCTCCTCCCTCTTTGCCTGACCCAGTACCTAAGTACAGCAGGTACTGCTCAAAGAGAAGGTTTAGCCATTCCCTTCCCTTAACAGAGTTCATGCAAATTTTAACCAAAAAACCCCCCACATATTAATGAAGTGTGTCACTTTACTATTTCTACTTTTAACATACTTTGTGCATCTCAGAACATGTAGAAAGACTAGATATTTCATAGAAGGGCATAACATAGTCAACTATACACACAATAGTGAGGATTAATATCTTGCCTTTGCAATTCTCTCTTCCAATGTCCTTCAACCCAATGCTCAAAAGCTGATAGTATACTGCTCACAGAAGTGCTTTAGCAATTACATTTCCAAAGAAAATATTTCCCATCAATATTTTCACAGCTATTCAAAAGTCTTATTTTACTATCACTACTTTAAATACACTGGGCATTTCTAAATCTCTAGAAAAGTTATCTATCTAAAATAAGAACTTATTTGTCCACTTTATACACAGTACCATTAAACAAAAATGCACATGTAACAAAATGATAATGGTCCAAGGTGACTGCTCACTGTGACCTTCCTGGACCTCAACTATGTCCTCCTCACCTCCTCCTCTATACCACTAATACAGTGGACAAGTATAGACAAGTATACTGCTCAGAGGCAGCTGAACAAATTCAAATTCATTTCCAAAAGTATTTTACAGAGGACAAGATTTCCTATGAGTTTAAATATAAAGTACACAAATGGGCTAATTTTATTCATACAACTAAGAATTCGTACAATTCTTAAACATCTGGATACTAGATGTTGCAAGCTGGGATTTATTTGTCCGTTATGGACTATAAACAGAGCAAAACAAAATGCAGCTCAAAGAGGAGGTTTAGTCATTTTGTAACCAAAAGATAAGACTTCATACAAATTTTAATAAAATAGTAACAAAATATGTTCTTTTACTACCTCTACTTTTAACATAGTTTGTGCCTCTCAGAAAATTTGGAACATGAAGAAAGATTAGATATTTCAAAAAAGGGCATCACCTTATCAACTATGTATACAGAAGGGAAATAAAATGCATACACAGAACAATGGCTATAACATGAAAATATCCTCTAAATATGAATTCTTTCCTTTCTTCCTTTCCAAGACCTTTTGCTCCACCCTTCTAACCCACCAAATAAATGTAGTCCTGTGTTGCTCCTGGTGTCTATTCTGGTGGTGGCCTAAAGATTCCATTTCCGAAAGTCATGCCAGAAAACATTTGTTTTTTTAAGATTTTTTTTTTTAACAAGAAGTTCACTTAATAAGACCTGTGAGGGACTTCCCTGGTGGTCCAAGAGTCCCCACTTCCACTGCAGGGGGCATGGGTTCCATCCCTGGTGGGGGAAATAAGATCCCTCATGCAGCCAGGCGCAAGCAAAAATAAAAATAAATAAGACCTGTGATTTCTAACTCTATTTTTTTATTCAGTGTCAGCAACCTCTTTAGGTCTAGAAGCCTCGATGTAGCACAAAAAGAATTTTAACTTGTCTCCTAAAAGGTTGGGAGAAAAACTGAGAGAAGTCTTTTTATACTATATGAATTAAGCCTTTTATAAACGGCTAGTACGTCTTTTAAAACGTTGGCCCCTCTCTGCTAGCCCAAGGCAGTACATTGTTCTATCTTTCCCCTCACCCACTCTCCAGACCTGGTAACAGGCCTTCCATCCACCACTGCAATCAGGTCACTGGAACAGGCCGTCGCTGCCTCTGGGACTGGCTGGGTCCCCAGCGCGTGAGGAGACCCGCGCAAGAGTCCCCAGTGGCCAGAGCACGGGCAGGCTGGTGACTGCAGAGCTTCCGGAACCCTTGTGGGTCGGCACGCGTGTGATCGGAAGAGCCCCCGGGGGCACCAGCTCAAAGGCCGGAAGTGGCCGGAAGACCAGTGGGTCAATTGCGCGAGGTCCGAACGGTGACTGGAAGGTGCTGCAGCAGTCAAGCAGGTAAATGGCTGGAAGGGCCTGGGTGCCACAGTGGGCGGGCTTGGTGGTGGCATGAGGGGTCCCCAGGGTCCTCACTGCATAGGCTGTACAGTCTCTGAAAGGGAAACCGGGTCCTGAGCTCAGGGTTGGACCAGTGACTGGAACGGACCCCACTGCATCAGTGTGTGGCAAGGATGGTTGCTGATAAGGCCCTAGGTTCCATACCACGTGGGCAGGTTGGTGACTGGAAGGAACCCCGGGGCACCAGCACGCGGTAAGGATGGTGGCCAAAAGGAAAAGCCTTAGACCCCAGAATGGGGGCAGGCCAGTTCCTGGTAACCAGAGAGCCCTAGCACCCCGGGGTTGGGGGGAGGGGCATGCAAGGTGACTGGAAGGGTGCTTGTTTTCCCTGGACGCAGGCAGGCTGGTGACTGGAAAGCCCTATACAGGAAAAAAAAATGCACGTATGGACATTAGTAAGGACACTATTGAGTGACTGTTGCCATAGGGGGAGAGGAGCAATTGCACTGGGAGATGTTTGAAGCCTAAGCCAGAAACAACTTAGGAAAGGGGTGGGCAAGCAAAGCTGTTGTATACTCAGAGCATGGAATAGGTGGCTGTGGAAGGAGGAAGGAGGATGCTAAAAACTGCAAGCAGGAGGGCCTGCAACTTAACAACTATATCAAATATTGCACTGAAGGAAAGGTTGAGGCAGGAAATGTTTATTTGTGCTTAAGCACCTGAGTCAGAGGTTTGGGCCTAAACGGAACAAACAAGTTGTAGTTAGGAAGTTCAAATAAAGTTTAGGGCCTAGCTGTCCTAGGCTAACCAGTCTAAAGCTGTGTCAAGCAAAACGTTTGATCCATCTTGTCAGTCCCTTCTCTTGTTCAAGAAAGGCTCAGTGTTACTGCCGTTGAACAACGCAGAGATAAGGCTAATCTAAAGTAGGTGATGGCTAACTGAAATACTCCTCAGGGTCAGAGTTTTCTCGGTGTTGTCCCTGGAGGACCACTAGAACCATCTGTTGGACCATCTGGCAGAGGTCAGTTGTTTTAGGGTCTGAAAGATGAGCCATCTGAAAAAAGCAATGCCCAAAATGCAAAAGATAAATATTATAAAAGGTCATATTAAAGAGCCATGAATCAAGCACTAAAGGTATCCAGGCCAGTGAATTCCAGGAGGTCAGTGGATGAAAATCTTTTGATTATGTAACATTGGTCATTGACTTTTTTTCTTGTTATTTTTATTTTTTTTTATTGTGGTATAATTGATTTACAATATTATACTAATTTCAGGTGTACCACATAGTGAATCAAAATTTTAATAGATTGTACTCCATTTAAAGTTATTATAGGGCTTCCCTGGTGGCGCGGTGGTGGAGAGTCCGCCTGCCGATGCAGGGGACACGGGTTCGTGCCCCGGTCCGGGAAGATCCCACATGCCGCGGAGCGGCTAGGCCCGTGAGCCATGGCCGCTGAGCCTGTGCGTCCGGAGCCTGTGCTCCGCAAAGGGAGAGGCCACAACAGTGAGAGGCCAGCGTACCGCAAAAAAAAAAAAAAAAAGTTATTATAAAATATTGGCTATATTCCTTGTGCTGTACAATATATCCTTGTTGTTTATTTATTTTATACATAGTAGTTTGTGTCTCTATGCCCCTCCCCCCTTCCCTGTCCCCAGTGGTAACCACTAGTTTGTTCTCTGTATGTGTGAGTCTGTTTCTTTTTTTTAATATTCATTAATTTGTTTTATTTTTTAGATTCCACATATATAAGTGATATCATATGGTGTTTGTCTTTCTCTTTCTGACTTACTTCACTTACTATGATAATTTCTAGGTCCATCCATGTTGCTGCAAATTGTATTATTTTGTTCTTTTTTATGGCTGAGTAGTATTCCGTTGTATATATGTACCACATCTTCTTTATCCATTCATCTGTCACTGGACATTTATGTTGTTTCCATGTCTTGGCTATTGTGAATAGTGCTGCAATGCCATTGGGTGCATTTATCTTTTTGAATTATAGTTTTGTGGGAATGTATGCCCAGGAGTGGGATTGCAGAATCATGTGGCAACTCTATTTTTAGGTTTTTGAGGAACCTCCTTACTGTTCTCCACAGTGGCCGCACCAATTTACATTCCCACGAACACTGTACAAGGGTTCCCTTTCCTCCACAACCTTGCCAATATTTGTTATTTGTGGTCTTTTTGATGATAGCCATTCTGACAGGTTTGAGGTGAGATATCATTGTGGTTTTGATTTGCATTTCTCTGATGATTAGCAATGTTGAGCATCCATTCATGTGCCTGTTGGCCATCTGTATGCCTTCTTTGGAAAAATGTCTGTGTAGGTCTTCTGCTCATTTTTTAATCAAGGTTGTTCATTTGTTTGATATTGAGTTGTATGAGCTGTTTATATATTTTGGATATTAACCCTTTATTGGTCATATTATTTGCATATATTTTCTCCCATTCTTTTCATTTTATCAATGGTTTCCTTTACTGTGCAAAAGCTTTTAAGTTTAGCTAGGCCTCGTTTGTTTATTTTTGCTTTTATTTCTTTTGCCTTAGGAGACAGATCCAAAAAAATACTGCTATAATTTATGTCAAAGAGTGTTTTGCCTATGTTCTCGTCTAGGAGTTTTATGGATTCACATCTTACATTTATGTCTTTAATCCATTTTGAGTTTATTTTTGTATATGGTGTGAGAAAATGTTCTAATCTCATTCTTTTACATGTACTGTCCAGTTTTCCCAGCACCACATATTGAAGAGGCTGTCTTTTCTCCATTGTATATTCTTGCTTCCTTTGTGGTAGATTAATTGAACATATGTGTGTGGGTTTTTTTCTGGGCTCTCTATTCTATTCCATTGATTTATGTGTCTGTATATGTGCCAGGACCATACAGTTTTGATTACTGTAGCTTTTTAGTATAGTCTGAAGCCAGGAAATATGACACCTCCAGTTCTGTTCTTTGTGTTTTTGTTTTTTTTCCAAGATTGTTTGGCTATTCAGGGTGTTTCATCTTTCCATACAAATTTTTTAATTATTTGTTCTAGTTCTGTGAAAAATGCCTTTGGTATTTTGATAGGGATTGCACTGAGTCTGTATATTATATTGCCTTGGGTAGTATGGTCATTTTAACAATATTAATTCTTCCAATATATGAACACAGTATATCTTTCATTCTGTTTGTATTGTCTTCAATTTCTTTCATCAGTGTCTTATAGTTTTGCAAGTACAAGTGTTTTACCTCCTCAGTTAGATTTATTCCTAGGTATTTTATTCTTTTAGATGCAGTGGTAAATGGGTAAGTTTCTCCTTCTGATAGTTCGTTGTTAGTGTATAGAAATGCAACAGATTTCTGTATGTTAGTTTTGTATCCTGCAACTTTACCAAATTCATTGATGAGCTCTCATAGTTTTTTGGTGGTGTCTTGAGGATGTTCTGTGTATAGAATCATGCCATCTGTAAACAGTTTTACTTCTTCCTTTCCAATTCCTTTTATTTCTTTTGCTTGTCTGATTGCTGTGGCTAGGACTTCCAATACCATGTTGAATAAAAGTGGCAAGAGTAGGCATCCTTGTCTTGTTCCTGATCTTAAAGGAAATGTATTCAGCACTTCACAGTTGATTATGATGTTAGATGTAGGCTTATCATGTGTGCCTCTTATTATATTGAGATGTGTTCCCTCTATATCTGCTTTGTGTAGAGTTTTTATTATAAATGGATATTGATTTTTGTTAAAAGCTTTTCCTGCATCTGTTGAGATGATCACATGATTTTTTAATCTTCAGTTTGTTAATATGGTGTATCACATTGATTGATTTGCATTCCTCTGATAAATCTCACTTGATCATAGTGTATGATTTTTTTAAATGTATTATTGAGTTTGGTTTGCTCATGTTTTGTTGAGGATTTTTGCATCTTTGTTCATTAGTGTTATTGGCCTATAATGTTCTTTTCTTGTGATATCTTTGACTGGTTTTGGTATCAAGGTGATGCTGGCATCAGAGGCTGAGTCTGGAAGTGTTACTTCCTCTGAAATTTTTTGGAATAGTTTGAGAAAAATAGGTATTAACTTTTCTCTAAATTTTTGGCAAAATTCACTTTTCTCTAAATGTTTGGCAGAATTAATCTGTTCCTGGACTTTTGTTTATTGAGAGTTTTTTTTTTTCTTTTAATTACTGATAAAATTTCTGGTAACTGGTCTGCTCACATTTTCTCTTTCTTCCTGTTTCAGTCTTAGGAGATTGTATACTTCTAGGAGTTTTTCCATTTCTCCTAGGTTGTCCATTTTATTAGCACATAGTTGTTCATAGTAAGCTCTTAGGATCCTTTGTATTTCTGTGTTGTCATTTGTAACTTCCTTTTCATTTATGATTTATTGATTTGGGTCCTCTCTTTTTCTTGATGAGCCTAGCTAAAGGTTTAACAATTTTGTTTATCTTTTCAAAGAACCAGCTCTTAGTTTCATTGATCTTTTCTATTGTTCTTAGTTTGTTTCTGCTCTGATATTTTTGATTTCTTTCCTTCTACTAACTTTCGGTTTTGTTTGTTTTCTTTTTCTAGTTCCTTTAGGTATAAGGTTAGGTTGGTTATTTGAGATTTTTCTTGTTTCCTGAAGTAGGCTTGTATTGCTAAAAACTTCCCTCTTAGAACTTCTTTTGCTGCATTCCATAGATTTTGGATCATTGTGTTTTTGTTTTCATTTGTCTCCAGGTATCTTTTTATTTATTCTTTGATTTCCTCAGTGATCCATTTGTTGTTTAGTAGCATATTGTTTAGCTTCCAGGTATTTGTGTATTTTGCAGGGTTTTTTTTTTTTTTCTTGTAGGTGACTTCTAGTCTCATAGCATTGTGATCAAAAAAGATACTTTTTTTTCAAAATACTTACATTTACTCAGTCTTGTTTTGCGGTCTGGCATGTGATCTGTCCTGAATGTTCCATGTGCACTTGAAAAGAATGTGTATTCTGCTGCCTTTGGATATAATGTTCTTTATATATCTATGACCGTTTGGTCGAATGTGTCATTTAAGGCCAGTGTTTCCTTATTGATTTTTTGTCTGGATGA